AAATGGCTTATCTTAGAATTTGTTACAACAAAACCACAAAATGGATATTCTCCAAAATCTAATTCTTGTACATTACCCAACCTGCAATACAAAAACTTATTTTCAAATGAAAATTCACTGACTTCATTTATTCTTATTTCCTTATCATTGTATTTAAAAATGATAGTTTTTAAAGGGCTGTTATCTTCAACTCTTTCACCATTTATAAAAATATGTGAACAACCAGTTTTAAACAAAGTAATTTTGTTTGCATCTAAATAAATTTCATTTTGGTTAAGTAATGTATCATTATGATACCATTTTATTTCTTGATTAAAATCAGTTTCAAATACTTTTAAATTATCATCATGTACATCTATTGGTTTTCCTTGATACTCACGTAATGTTAATTCTTTTAAATAACATTTTGAAATATCAATTGATGCCTTACATTCATAAATTGTTAATGACTTTAAACCAGGAGGAATGACAATAACAACATTTTGTTTTTCAACTTTTTTTATTGATAATAATTCAATGGGTAATGTTGTTAAATCAATTCTATTTCCTTCAAAGTTATTTAAAATATTTTCAATAACAACATGTCGAATATCATTTTTTACAATTATTTCATTAATTTGATTGATTTTATCTAAAACATCAGTTTTAATAACAACACTAGCATCACTTTTATCGAACCCCATGAGAAACTTCTGTTCATATGGTAATGATGGTAAATAAGGTAAATTTATTGTTGATTTATTAAGTACTCTAGTGTAAAACCTACAATTAACAAATTGATTATAATCTATTTGGCAGAAAAATTTACTACAGATAAACCCATATTCATTTAAAATAATAATGAAATTGATTTGTTTGCATTTATTGAAATCAACCATTTTTGAAAGTTCTTGAAATTCATTGTTGGTACAAAAAATAATTACTTTTTTTAATGTTGGTAATTCAATCATTTTTCTTATTAGATTCCAATCATTGTTATTTAACATAACTAATTCTTGTAATTGTGTAAAATATTCTGGATGTTTTTCTACTACTTTTTTTACAACAATATCCCTCCATTCGTAATTTTCTTATTTTTGACCAAAACCATTTTGT